ATAAAAAATTTATTAATTGGAATTTATCATTTAAATACTTACAAAATGATAAATTCTACTCGATTTCTGTTGTATTTCTGCATTCCGTCGATAAATATAATATACAATATGTTTGTAAAATTTGTTTTCCACAAATCTCGAAAGTACTTATTAATTATTTATAACACAATATGATCGATTAAATTATTAAATTATTCTCGGAGAAAGCACTTTGTTATTTAAAAGACAAAAATTTTGGAAACTTGTGCTGTTGTTTTAAAACAGAGTTTGAAAACTATATATATATGACGATATAAATTCCTCGCTCGTCTTCGAGGAGTGCGCGTACAAATCGAGAAAAATGAAACTCAAGCTGGAGATCGAGCTGTGTCACATGCGTCACGACTGTCACGAGTTTTTTAAAAGTGGTTTTTTTGGGATTTTATTAGGTTATATTAGGTTTTTTCGGGTGTTATGAGTTATCTTTTTAACCTAAGTCTTCCTGCATCATTCACGTTTATCTTTCTCTAACGTGTTGTTGTACAGAAATTGTCCTCAATCCAATACTCTAACCAAGATAATTATAATATGCACATCCCAATATGACATATGGTTCAACAAAAAAAAGAGTTCATAATTAATTTGTTACTTGAGAAAATTTATAATTTGTTATTATCTTTCTTCGCTCAGTTTCAATTTAAACTGAAGCAGTGATGTGCAAAAAGATTTCAAAATTATAATTTGATGTATCGGATTACAATTTAAAACAAGTCTATTTTGAACACATTATTGATGTGCGCGTAAATTTAATAAAAATAATAGTTTATTTTCAAATAAAAATCGAATAAAAAAGCGAATTTGTACAATCACATTATAGGATTCAGTGCTTCAATTTTAATTGTTGCCTATCATTTTTGTTGGAAAAATAAAAATTATATAATTTTTTGCTCATCACGTCAATAGGATTCCAATAATCGACACGTGCCCATTTGACATGTGCCCATTCGATATATGTACTTTGTTGCACTTGAATTAGAGTCTTTCAGGTCTCAACTTTTGCCTTGTTAAAGCTGCGTTGCGATGCGATTTGAAGGAGATTATAGCACAGGCCGCATTGTAATTCCAAAATCGATAAGTAGATACGTAGGTTCAAGATCGGCCTGGGGCGTTTTTTGTTGCCGAAGCACGTCGCGTGTTCCGCCACTTGCGTCACATGTTCATGTTTCATGTGTCACATGCGTCACGAGTTTTTTAAAAGTGATTTTTTTGGATTTTATTAGGTTATATTAGGTTTTTTCT